TGACCCAACCCGCATGGCTCGCGGGTTGGCTCGAAATTCAAAAAAAATGATAAAGCAATTGGCACAGGCAACATGTTAGCTGCCTTCATGAAAGGGAAAAAGAAAATCGAGTCGGCTTGGTAAGGCCCAAGCCACGCTCGGTTAAGGCTCAATTTTTTGGTCGAGCTTGGGCCAAAAAAGCCCGACCTAAAAAAGCTCTAGTCGAGCCTGAGTCTCAATTTTCTGCTTGTGAGCCGACTCGGCTAGACTCATTGACACCCTTAGGATACATATAACAAGTGTGTATTTGAGCCACATTATTTTAAAAGAATGTATTTTGAAATGGTAGATTGATGGAGAATGTGTGAAAGGTTTTGAATTTGCATGTAATATTACTTTATTGGAGAATGTGTGATTGAAATAATGTCAAATCACTGTTTAAGAATTATTATTATTATTATTATTATTTTGGGAAAAATAGGGCCCTAATGTCTCACAAGTTTCAAGCTTTGGAGAAATTCAAAAAGCTTTCGAATCGAAGTTGTGAAACAATTAGATAAGAGTATTAAGGTCATTTGATCTGATAGAGGTGCTATCTTAAGAGTTTAAAGTCTATTTATCGAATAATAGGAAATTATCTCAATTGAATGTACCAAAAAATCCCCAACAAAATGGTTTCTCGAAAGAAGGACATGAACTCTTTTAGAAATGGTGAGATCAATGATGAGTTATTCTTCATTGCCTATATCTTTTCTTGAATATATGCTACAAATGGTCGTGTATAGATAAACCTTGTACGACCCAAATTGGATTGTGAGATAGCCTTTGAATTATATAATGGGCACAAGCATAATTTGCACCACATTCGGGTATGAGGATGTTCGGCACATGTGTTTAAGGAAAAGACGGAGAAAACGGAATTAAGATCTAAGGTTTGTTTAGGGTATCCGAAGAAGCTAGATATTACTACTTTTATAATCTTCTAGATAGGAATGTATTTTTTTTTTTTTTAGCACTAACTTAACCTTCTTAGGGAATAAGTACATAGAAGTACCCAAGTCGTTTAGTAATATTCTACTGGAAGGGGTGTTAGAAAAGGTTCAAAGTACTCGATTCTATATTTTCATATAGAATCAAAGAGTAAAGACTTGAAACCTCCTATGGAACCAATGGTCGCTAATTCTACTGGGATGAATGGGTAGGAAGTACTCATAGACCAGAATAGACAAACAAAATCGAAAATAGAATTCGTGATAAGGAAATAATAAACGTTGGTCCACATTAAGGACAAAAACCAACCAATCAAAGGAAAAGAGTTAACTCTAGTTAGATGGGACGATCATGTACCTCCAGTTGTTATTTGTATTGGGAGGTTTGTAAGAATACCTTTGAAATACTTGTTCTATGGTAAGTCTTACGAGGCAATCTCTATTAGATAAGAGGAAGATCTTATCTGTTTAAGGATGCAATGGAGCATGTAGACTTTAAATCATGGAAAGTTGCCATGAACTCAAAGATGGAAATTGTAAATTCCAACAAGGTTTTAGATCTTGTAGATGCACTGAATAGGATCAAACCTATCAAGTACAAGTGTATTTATAAAAGGAAAATAGGGGGTAGATAGGATGGTCGAAACTTTCAACGCAAGGGTAGTGGTTTATGATTTTACTCAAAGGAAAGGTATCGATGTGGGGAAACATTCTCGTTGGCCACCATGCTTAAATACTTGATAGTAAAAGAGTATATCTTGACAATAATACAAATGTATGCGGGTCTTACACACATTTCTCTGCTCTTTATCTTGATAAAAAAATTTGTTTATAATAACAGGAGTTGACGACAATCTACATTGGTCTATGCCACTTGCCTTTCGTTTATAAGGTACAGGGATAATTATAGTCACGATCCAAACCTTTCAAATCATTGTAGGTTTTGCCCTATTTTTTCATTTGTTGCACACGTGGTTCAAAACCTTTCAATTGTGTGCTATTGGAGGATAAATGGATGGAAGTTATCCATATTTTCGTTAGTTGACAAAAAAAAAAAAAAAGATTGACCACATTTTTAATATTTTTTTTTTAAAAGAACAAAATAATAATTTTCTATTTATCACATTAAATAGTATAAATTTAAGCCCCCACATGGGCTCTATTTTTCAAAAATGCATTTTTTAAAAACTCATTTTCAACCACATTCTCTCATAGAATAATGTTACATATAAGCCAATTTTTTTTTCTTATTTTTTGAACACAATATTCTTAGAAAAATCACTATCCCAAATCATAGTATTTCCCAAAATATCATTTTAATGGAATCTACACAAGAGCTAAATTAAAAGTAACAAAATAAAATGAAATAAAAGAAAAGAAAAGATTATAATCTTTTCTCACCCCCATATCCAGACCCCAAAACTATCAACAATTTGAAATAAAAAATGGAAAAATCTTGTCACATATCAAAACTACGATCAACGGCTCCTTCAACTACATTTTTTTAGGGAATTTTATGTGGTTTTATTCTCAAATTTTGCAAATAATCAACAAAAATTTACAAGTTAGTCTCTTCTGAACTATGATTCAAACAGTTCAAATTTTGCTTGATTATTCAATAATAGATTATAGATATCATAATTATTAAGGCTGGACAAAACTCTCGAACCGAACCTGAACCCGACGGTTCTTTTCAAATTAAATACCCGAACGAGTATTTGAATCAAGAACCGACGGGTACGGTTCAGTTCTGGTTCTAGGCTAAGACCCGAAGAACTGAATAAGATCCGAACCTCCTTAATTTTTTTAATTAATTTATTTTAAATAAGCAAAATTATTTTATTTTTTCTAAATAAATAGTTCAAACTACAAAATATGATTTTTCTATTTGTAATTTTCAATTCAAAATCAACTTAATCAAATTGTCCTCAATTTTATCCAAATTTGTTACTCTACTATAGTATCGTTTCTATTAGAGAAAATCGAATTAAAACTCTACAACATATCTTTTAATTATTTTGAGCTCGCTATCTTTCTCTTCCTGTGATTTTAATAATCAAATTTATGAAGAATTCAGTAAAGAGAGACGTAAAAGACACATAAGATTAGACTATGTTATTTTGTAAGAGCTAATATTGAACATATCATTAATTAAATTAATGTAATTTTGTATATATAAAAAAATTTAATTATAATACGGAACCGAATGGAACCGAACTGAACCGAATCCGAACGGTTTTATAATTAAATTTGGATCCGACGGTTTCACTTACTAAATATCTGAAAATTTCGGGTTGGTTTGGTTCTCATTAGAACCGAATCGAACCATGTCCAACCATAATAATTATTCAGTAATAGAAAAGCAATCATAAGCTATTACACATATTTATGATTTTTTTTTGAATATATTTGAACTGCTGTAATTTTTTTAAATATGAATTTGATTTTTTTTAGTTTTTTATTTTATTTTATTTTAGTACATATGAAAATTCATCTTTAGATTAACATTCCAAGTTGGCATATATGAAAATTCACACTTGAATAAATTGAATTGAATACTAATATATGAAAAATTCAATTTTAGATCAATTAAAAATATGCCTACAAGATGTTTATAAAAATGCAAATATAAATTTGAATTCAAACTTTGATTTACATTAAAAAGTGATTTGATATAATATTTTATTTAGCTTGCATATGAATTAAGGTACTTAATTTTGAAAGCGACAATTTGCCACCATTTTTTTATTTTTTATTTTATTATTATTTAAGAAAGTCACACACGAGTAGTTCTGTGATATAAAATTACTATCTACTTTTTGAGTTTGATATAAAGTAAGGTTACTCATTTGAAAGTAAAATATTGTGTCACTTTTTAATTAGGTTATAGAGTGTCTAATATGGTTGCTTCACTGTATATAGATGTCACGAAGGTATCAAAACATCACGAAACTAAATATTTAGAAAATATACAACTTTTGGAGGTTGTTACTTTTGAAAAAAAAAATGACATGAAGCAACTGCAATTTTAAAGAAGAAGCCATAAAAGAAGAAAGATTTATGAAACTGAGTGCTTGAAATTATTATTATTTTTTATTTATATATATTAGATTGTCTTTGTGTTCATGAAACCTGTTCCCCCTTACTTTAACCTATTCCAAACATTAAGTTTCACATGGCCTTTTAATATTCATATAAGCATTTTTTATTAAGGCCTACTCGGTATTGATTTTATGAATTAATTTTTTCATCATTAAGGAAAAAGTAGAGATCACCTGTAAGTGAAGAAGTCAAAAAGTGCGATTGAAATAATAAAATAACGGTCAAAAAATTAATTTTTTGGAGTGTAAAATGGCTCCCAAACAAGCTTTTAGTTGGGGACATATGTGTCGAAATTTGAAATGCTAAGAATATGAGTCCAATAAATAGTAGGTCAGGAACTTTATTGCTCCACTCCACTGCCAAAAGTGTTATAGGTTATTCAAGGAGGTTTATGTAAATACACTAAGACGGAAAAAATGAAAAAAAAAAAAAAAGGAACAAAAATTCAGACCATTCATAGCGCTTGGACTTCGTTAAAATTATTATTTGGGTGGTGGTTTTTTTGGAAAATGTATGATTTAAAAAGAAGAAAATTTTTTAAATTTAAGTGTAATATTATATTATTTAAAAATATGTGGTTAAAAATAAGAAAAAATGTGTTAAGCTCCGATTTGATTTCCATTTTTTGGTTACAAAAATAAAAAATATGACTGTTATTCATTACATCAAAGTATCATATTTGATTTTTTATCTTTTGTGTGAATCTCGTAACGATTATATTTTTCATTATTATTCTTAGAAAAATTGGAATCAAATGGGACCCTAAAATCAAGAATGGAGCTAAAGGGTATAATTTGATTTGAAATGAGATGTCACACGTGCCATACCTGAATCCAGAATTTCCAATTCACACGAATGAAAACAAAAATTTGATGTTTTGAAATTGAAAATTGAAAGTGAAACACCCCCCCCCCCCCGGGCCCCCTCTCCCTGTCTCTCTCAATAAGATTCCATATACAGAAAATTCACATACATGAATGACATGTATATATCGATTGGTTTGACGTGTTGTATGTATTGAGATAGATAGATAGATAGATACGGAAAGAAGCACTAGGAATTGTTTAATGTGTGTGAATGGAAGCTATACTGACTCAGTGTGTGCAAAACGGCCTACGGCACTTCTTGTACCGTAATGCCATTTTCATGTGCGAACGCCTCTGCGCCGAGTTCCCCTCCGAGGTATTCACTTTTAACATAGAATCGTAAAATAATTTTTAAGTAGACGATTTTTTTTGCTGTGCTTTAGTTTTACAAGTATTTTTGCTGGTACGTTGGGTTGATTATAAATTTATCTTCAGCTAAATTCTGAGTTTTGCTGAATGACTGAGGAAATCTTTCAGTCGCAGCATACTAATGTATGTTCGCGAGTGCAATTAAATTATTGAAATAAGAGGGAAGTAAGTATGTTTTCTAAACCTCTTGGTAATATCAATTGGAAAAAAAAAGTTGGATTCTGAGACATCTACGCGAAATTTATAATGCCATAGTATTGATGATATTGATCGAGGAGCCTGGAAGTTGATAAATGAGCATCATTTAAATAAGCAGTATAGACTTCAAGGCATATCTTAGTTTGAATTCCACTTTAAAAATATTCATGATTTTGATGCTTGTTATGGGTGTAGAAGCCGTGTAGTTAAATAGAGTGGAATCATGTGTTTAATAAAGAGAATAACCTTAGTTACCACATTTTGTGATATGAGAAAGATGGATGATGTCCTGTTGATGCTGTATTAGATATTATGATGTTGGGTCTATTTGTCTATCATTTTGTGCTTATATTTTTTTGTTTAGTAATTTATTATAAAGGTCCATGGCATAAACTAAATTTTGCTATCATAGCTTTGTTTCCTTAATGAAGTACCATGTTTAATGCAGACAAATTTGCAGCTTCTTGCCAGTTGTTACTTGCAAAACAATCAGTCACATAGTGCATACTACATTTTGAAGGGTATGTTGTGATATGATCTCTTCTTTTTCTAACTGGATCAGACCACTTGGTTTCATCCAAAAGAAGCACTCTTCTGTTGTCTGAGCATCTTACCTGGAATTCGATTCTTTATGTTATTTCTCTGCATACTTTTTTATTTTATTTTATTTTATCTCTGTCTTTAATTGTTTGAAGGAACACATATGGCTGAATGCCGCTATTTGTTTGCGCTATCATGCTTTCAGATGGATCTTCTGAAAGAAGCCGAAGCTGCTTTATGCCCCCCCAACGAGTCCTCTGCAGAGGTATACCACAAAACATGTTTCACTGTTCTTTGATGTTAATTTTATGGTATGTATGAACTTCTTTAATATTTGTTTTATTGCCTTAATTCCAGTTTTGAACTAAGTGATATTCTTTACCACTCTTCTTTTTTCTATAATGATCATCAGTTAACGTGTTCCTTTTTTGAGGCGGAGTGGTTATAGTTAGTTCTCATAATTGCAGGTTCCAAATGGAGCTGCTGGCCATTACCTTCTCGGTCTTATTTACAGGTGTCTATTTTGTTTCTCCTTTTCCAGTGCATTATCTTTACATGAGGTCACCTGTTGTCCATCCTTCTATCATATTACCTAGTATCCTTCTATAATAAGAATGATTTGATAACTTTTCTTTAACATTCTCCATTTCTTTGAAGGAAAAATGTCATAATTACCCTTTATTTATTGTATTTGGATTTGAGGTTGCACAATTATATTCCCTTCTATATGTGATGATTTCTTGAACAAACTATCAAAGTTGAGCTATGACTCAAATTTGAAGTTTCAAAGATTACAAATTTTAGAATTGTTAGAAACATTTCAGAACTTTTACTTTTAAGTTTGCTATAAACTGCACATTATGCTATAAGATTTTGTTTATAAGTACAAGGAAGTATATAGTAGATTTAGTATGCATATTAAAGGAAGAATGGTACTTTGGTGATCAAGTACCTAGAATATGTGAAAACAACGTGGTGACACATCATCCTGAGATTTCATATTTTCTTTTTCCCAATTTAGTATAGGGCACATCTACTGGATTTTGTTATTTGGACTTACTCATGTATCATAATTTAAGTTTCATTTTACGTGAATGGCAATTAACCACTAACTTCGAAATTTATATGGTTGTGCAGTAAAAAATTGACTTTTCAAGTTTTTTGATGTGGTTCTCCTGTTCTATTAGAGAAATATGATGCCACTTTTTACCTTGAGATCCTTCTGCATTCATAAAAATTAGGCGTTCTTATGTTTCCATTTGAATGCAAATAGTAAGTAATATGGGAGTTTTCTTTTTATCAGAATTCAGAAGAGTGTCAAGGTATTCAATTTATCCTTTGACTCGATAATCCTCATTGTGAGGGTTCCTTTGTATATATAGGAATAATAAGGCAAATTACAAGGCTGAATGTTAGCTATCACTGTACACAAATGGAAACTAAGCAATTTTCTACCAATTACAACTATTATACAAAGCTATACAAATAATTCTGGCGTTAATTACTCATCTAATTGACATCCCCCCTCAAATTGATGCTCGGTGATCAAGAAGCATCAATTTGTCCACAAGAAAGAGATGACGTTGTCGTGTCATGGCTTTGGTGAATACGTCGGCAATCTGTAGATCAGTAGAGATATGCGGAAGAGAAATAATATTTGCGTCAAAAGCCTCTCGGATTGAGTGACAATCTATTTCAATATGCTTTGTACGCTCATGATATATTGGATTTGCAGCAATCTGAATAGCACTCGTGTTGTCCGCATGAAGGGGTGTAGGATCAGACTGAGGAAAGCCAAGTTCAGCTAAAAGTCCTCGGAGCCACATAATCTTAGAACAGGCAGCGGACATGACACAGTATTCGAATTCAGTTGAAGATTTAGACACACGTGCCTGCTTTTTACTCTTCCAGGAGATCAAAGAATTACCAAGAAATATACACCAACCCGTAACAGAACGACGAGTATCAGGGCAGCCGGCCCAATCTGCATCACCAAATGCAACAAGACGAATAGGAGACCAAGAAGGGAAAAACAATCCACGATGAGGAGTACCTTGGAGATACCGAATGATGCGACGAACTGCCACAAGATGAAGATGTCGTG